GGGAAGAATCCTACAGGCCAAAAAGAGGAAGGGAATAAGGGATGGACGGGGAGGAGGAGAAGGAAAGGAAAAAGAGAGGGTGGGGAGGATGGGATAGGGAAGGGGGGATTAGGGGGTAATTAGGTTCGGTCTGAGGAAGAAGACCAACAGGTCTAATTCCTCAGACCAAGAGCCTCTTCACCGCGCCAAGGAGCCTCCCTTGAAGAGGAACACCAATAGTGCCATTATTTTGTTTGAAGCAAAACAATTATTTCCAGTTTTTGTCAACACAAAATCTTATTGCAAGAAAATTATCATAGCATTGTACATATATTGATGTGTTGTGTTCCTGCCTCATTGTAAGTGTTAACCCTTCTCTGTTTTGCATTTTTTGCCCTCTATTCTTCTTCATATTTCATTGAACAAATTCACTCTTAGTGCAATTTTTAACTTCTTTAAAGTAAATCATTCTTTTGCTTGTTCGGTAAGTGTTTGCTTAAGCTGCAATTAAGAGTTAAAGTGTTCAATCAGTTCATTCCTTGATAATTTTTTTTTTATTGTTTGTGTAAACTGCATTTTCTTGTGTTTGCAATTCTTTTTATTACTGCAGTGTTGACTCATTCTGTGATGACTCTTGTGCAAGTATTGTTTACCTGGAGTTTACCTGGAGAGAGTTCCGGGGGTCAACGCCCCCGCGGCCCGGTCTGTGACCAGGCCTCCTGGTGGATCAGAGCCTGATCAACCAGGCTGTTGCTGCTGGCTGCACGCAAACCAACGTACGAGCCACAGCCTGGCTGATCAGGAACTGACTTTAGGTGCTTGTCCAGTGCCAGCTTGAAGACTGCCAGGGGTCTGTTGGTAATCCCCCTTATGTGTGCTGGGAGGCAGTTGAACAGTCTCGGGCCCCTGACACTTATTGTATGGTCTCTTAACGTGCTAGTGACACCCCTGCTTTTCATTGGGGGGATGGTGCATCGTCTGCCAAGTCTTTTGCTTTCGTAGCGAGTGATTTTCGTGTGCAAGTTCGGTACTAGTCCCTCTAGGATTTTCCAGGTGTATATAATCATGTATCTCTTCCTCCTGCGTTCCAGGGAATACAGGTTCAGGAACCTCAAGCGCTCCCAATAATTGAGGTGTTTTATCTCCGTTATGCTGCCATTAATTTTTTCTTTCAGAATTTTTTTATGTAGTGTTGTGTTGTGCAGTAATATTTGATTAGTAATTATTATTTGCATTAGTGCTAGTTTATTTCAGTGCAATATTCTGTGATTTCAGTTTTACATTTCTGTGTTCTGTGCATAATATTTCATTCTTTGTGTGTCACTTTATTTTCATTTTTTCTAGAGAATTGCTTTCCCAGTCCATTTTAATTTTGTTCAAGATTCAATTATTCCAATTTATCATTTTTGATTGATTTATCATTTATTGTTGAGTTTCTTTATTGAATTGAGAGTAAAGACAACTTACTGTGCCATTAATTCAAATTAAAGTAAATTTGAGTAAATTTGATTGAAAAAAGTACAATTTCTCTTGATTATCAAAATGTTGCTTATCCAGTTGAGTGTTTTATGTGCATTTTCTTGCTCTGCAGTGTGACTTCTTATTTTTCTTTACTTATGCAGACTAGTTAAGTATTTTCTTCATATATTCTCTTTATTATTCTTGCTTTTATGTCCTTGAGTAAGTTCCCTGAGAAGATGTCCCAGTCACTTTTCATTGCTCACTTAGCGTATCATGCCAGTCAAAGTAAACATGAATCAGTCCACAGTCCTAATATCCCCTTACTGACTGAAAGACAATAACTAGCTCTTAGACTATGTGATTAAGTTCCTATAGATCCGTGAATTACTTATTAACGTAACCGAGCGGTCAGGCACTAGTAAGACTGTCACGCCTGTCTGGAATCCAGCCACAATATCGTGCACGCAGGATAGTGTACAGTTACCTTGGGTTTCAGTGAAACTTGTTCAAGTAGTCGTTCCTTCCAGGGGACGCTTTGTGAAGAACGCTACTTGTAATGAGATACGCCATCTCTTGCTGATGTCACAAGCCATTGCAGAAAAACGTTTCTGTGACTAGTGTACTCATTTGAGTGTTGTTGCTGTTCCTTGTGTTCCAGATAGTGATCCGTGCATTGTAAAAAGTTATTTCTCGAGTAACCTTCACATGTTAACGTTTAAGTGTAGTTTCTTTATAGTTGATACCTCGTGTCACTGTGTGCGACTCAGAATGAATACTAGTATTGTCGACCGTGTTCCTTTCTTTTCCTCTGTGCTTGCAGTGAGAGATAGTAAACCCGTTCTCCCTTGCTCATATTGCGTGTTATAGCGTTATCTTTTTTTCAACCGGGAAGAGTCATCCACTTATCCGAGTTTGTTAATTCCTCCATTAAGAAAAAACCGATCCCTTGTGGTCTGGTGTGATTCGATTCCTGCTCCAGGAAGATTTTGTTCTGACTGTGAAGCCACCAGCACCCATTAGTGACTTTGTAATGAGCCAAGAATTACTGTATCGAACAGCCAAGTTGGGTACTCCTAGCAGAAGGGTATACCAATTAGTAATTCCACAGTCACTATGGAATGAAGCTCTACAGCTAGTTCACGATGCACCAGGTGTTGCACACCCTGGTATGGATTGTTCAGTAAAATAAGCCAGAATGAAATACTTTTGGCCACGTATTGCAACTGATATTTCCGAGTATGTTAAGAAATGTAGTGTCTGTATGCAACATAAAGGAAATGTCAACGGTCCAAATCCTATCCAGGTGTATCCCATCTCGAGTGAACCATGGGAAAGAGTTGCCATATATCTGTTAACCAACTTCCAATGTTCCCTCCAAGGTAACAAGCATCTGTGTGTTATGGTAGATTATTTCACCAGATATTGTGAGTTAGTTCCTATTACAGATAAGACTGCCGAGACTGTAGCTAAAGCTTTCAAGGAGCATATAATCTGTAGGCATACCACCCCTAAGTCTCTGGTAACAGATAATGGAAGTGAATTCTGTAATGAGATTCTTGAAAATTTGTGTACCTTGTACAAGATCTCTAAATCCACCATTGTTCCTCATCATCCTGCCAGCAATGGGTTAGCGGAATGAACCAATAAGAAAGTACTTGATGTCTTGAGAGCCACTATCAATCCCAACAGTAAAACCTGAGATGAAGTTATACCTGATGTTCAATGTGCCATAAATTCTGCTTACAATGCTTCAATAGGTGACACTCAACATTATGCATTGTATGGTGTAGACAAGCATTTGCCTTATGAGTTGTTATATTGTGCACCGAAACCCAATTACAACCCTGTTGATTTCAAAGCAACTCATACCAACTTAGCTCAAAGTGTTTTTAGAAGAATCCGTGAGACACTTCGTAAGTCAACGGCAGCATTTACAAGAGTAACTAATTGCCATGCTAAGCCAACCAAAGTTAAAGTGGGTTCGAGAGTAATGCTGACTAACTTCAACAAAACATCAGCAATGCCTAAGCTCGATCAGAAGTTTGTTGGTCCTTATCGAGTAGTTGAACATATCAATGGCAATAAGTATAAGGTTAGAGAAATTAGTACTGGTCAGTATAAAGAATCGCATTTAGATCATATGAAGTTAGTATGCGATGTTGAGGATGATATTTCTACCCAGACTAATGTGACAGAGGCTGACAATCCTCCTGACTCTGTACCCTCTACCTCTAACACTCAGTCATGATCAACCTGAATGTCGTTATTCCTTGCATACATGACAAGTAATGAGAAACCCCCAAGTATCTTTTGTAGATACTTGTTCAGATCTCCCTCGGTCAAGGCATGTGTTAGCCATTGCAAAAGAATTTGATCCTCCCAAAGAGCATAACCATTCTGCATATGTAAATCTTGCCCTCGCAGAGTTGGGTTTAAATGTACATAGCCTGTATAATTAGATGTCCAAGATGAATGAAGTTGTCAACTGTGTGTTTATTATTAGCTGATCAGTTCTCAGAAATTTTTTTTGTATTCACATTCCCTCCAAATTCTGAGATTTAGCAATATGACCTGAGTGCACCTGGTCTGTCTTTGCTGTTAATTACTTTCACCTTTGTAAATATATATATTCTTCCTCAGAATCCGTAGAGTGCATGAATACAGATCAATCGATCAATTCCATCTTTTATTATAATACGATTTGTTCTTATAATTCATAATGTATTATGATACCATCCATTACGATACCATCCATTAGCTCTAAGTTACGTATGTCTTTGCTATTGTATAGAATCAGCCCAGAGCTGCCTGCCTGTTCAGCCTATAGCATAGTATTATAGGTCAAGACTACATACGTAACATGACTGAGCTGTCAGCATAGTCGCTGATCCCCTGTATGTGTTTTCTGAGTATCATAGTATCATCCATGTTTTACATAGTTAACCCCTTGCTAAGCTCAGTGACTAGCATGTGTGATGTCACGTGATGCCACATATGAGTGTAAGACTCGATGCCTCTCCCTCACTTCACGCTTAGGTCTACAACAAGGCAACATGGCAGTCTGGGCTCCTCCTTCTCACACTCTGTTAATATAAGTGTTACCAACCAACAAGTGTGTTTAACTCCAACCATCATATCTCCACGAACCCTCTCAGCATCCCTGTCACCTATAACAATAATAAGTATAAAAGTAATAATCTTTATCTCTACAAGTACATCAAAGCCGCTTGTTATGCAGAGCATTTTGGGTAAATTAGGTCTATTTTGTCCCAGGATGCGACCCACACCAGTTGACTAACACCCAGGGATCTATTTTACTGACAGGTGAACAGGAACAGCAGGTGACTTAAGGAAACATCTTTTAATGTTTCCACCCGTACCGGGATCGAACCACGGACATCAGTGTGTGAGATGAGTGTGCTAACAATCGGGCTACGGGACACTATAATACTATATGCTATGAAATCATTAAAAAGAGAATTTTAATTTTCTTTCAACAGGGGGCGTTGTGCCCCTGCGTACTTAAGATGTTAAGTAAATATTGGACTATTTGCTCACAGTACATGGAGTTGCGGTTCAAGTCAAGAACGCTGCGGAAGATGGCTACGGGAATCCAGCTGCTGGCGTCGTTCGTGTATATGGGTATCTGCCTGTATGCTCCATCACTGGCTCTCTCCTCTGTCACTAGCCTCCCCATCTGGGCGTCTGTTCTGCTGATGGGACTCATCTGTTCTTTCTACATAACTATAGTAAGCTATGATAGCCTTTACTCAGAGTAAGTTGTGTTAACCTTCACTCAGAGTAAGTTGTGTTAAACTTCCCTCAGAGTAAGTTGTGTTAGCCTTTACTCAGAGTAAGTTGTGTTAACCTTCACTCAGAGTAAGTTGTGTTAAACTTCCCTCAGAGTAAGTTGTGTTAACCTTCACTCAGAGTAAGTTGTGTTAACCTTCACATAAAGTAAGTTGTGTTAACCTTCACATAAAGTAAGTTGTGTTAACCTTCACAAAGTTGTGTTAACCTTCACAAAGTAAGTTGTGTTAACCTTCACAAAGTAAGTTGTGTTAACCTTCACAAAGTAAGTTGTGTTAACCTTCACAAAGTAAGTTGTGTTAACCTTCACATAAAGTAAGTTGTGTTAACCTTCACTCAGAATAAGTTGAGTTAACCTTCACATAAAGTAAGTTGTGTTAACCTTCACTCAGAGTAAGTTGTGTTAACCTTCACACAAACCTTAATTTCATCAGGTTTAATTGATTGTGTTGTTAAACTAATTTCTTGACCTTGAGCTCAAAATGTAAATCATAATATATGAAAATTATGTTTATGAATGCGCGCACACACACGTCAGGAGCTGTGACTCGACCCCTGCAACTATCTATAGGTGAGTACACTATTACTACTACACATAGATAACTGCTGCATCATATGAGCGCCTGGGAAACCTGAGAATAGCGATCCGATACCTCATTAAGGAATCGTTCAAGACACTGTACACCGTGTACGTCAGGCCCATACTGGAGTATGCAGCACCTGTTTGGAAAGCACACCTGGTCAAGCACGTCAAGAAATTAGAGAAAGTGCAAAGGTTTGCAACAAGACTAGTTCCAGAGCTAAGGAGAATGTCCTACGAAGAAAGGTTAAGGGAAATCGGCCTGACGACACTGGAGGACAGGAGGGTTAGGGGACACATGATAACGACATACATAATACTGTGAGGAATAGATAAGGTGGGTAGAGACAGGATGTTCCAGAGATGGGACACAGACACAAGGAGTCACAATTGGAAGCTCAAGACTCAGATGAGTCAAAGGGATGTTAGGAAGTATTTCTTCAGTTACAGAGTTGTCAGGAAGTGGAATAGTCTGGCAAGTGATGTAGTGGAGGCAGGAACCATACATAGTTTTAAGACGAGGTATGATGAAGCTCATGATTGCATGGTTGCATTAGCCAATTCAATTGAGAGGGTAATTGATGACTTGTCTAGGAATTTAAACTGATAGATTATAGAGGTATGGGTGTTTGTGGGAAACAATCAGGCTGCAGCATTATGGTTAAAAACAGCAGTTATTACCGGGATACCTCAGGGATATGTTTAAAAGACGATATTCAAAATAAAGTTGCTAGTAATGGTAAATCAACTGATCAACAAACAAAGAGAAATAGTAGAGGGCAACGAGTGACTAGCTCCCTTATTGTTTACTATACAAATAGTAGGAGTCTAAGAAATAAGATAGATGAGCTAAGATTAATTGCAAGTGTAGGTAATATAGATATTATTGGTATAACAGAGACCTGGTTCAATCTGTAAGGTAGAGAAATGCCTTCTGAATGCAACATACAGGGTTATAAACTATTACACACTGATAGGGTCAACAGGAAGGGTGGTGGTGTGGCGATGTATGTCAGAAAATTTAAATTGTTGTCTCTGACATGATATAAGATTAGAATCATCGAACACATAATCTGTTTGGCTACAGTTTCTCGAGGGACGTGACAAATTAATTTTGGGTGTGATTTATAGGCCCCCAAACCTTGATAGGGAGGGAAGTAAGCTGTTATGGGACGAAATTCATAAGGCATCTAGATATGAAAATGTTGTGATAATGGGAGATTTTAACTTTAGATAAATTGATTGGAACAATATGACAGGAAATCTTGAGTCTAGTGACTTTCTTGATACGGTTCAAGATTGCTTTTTAGAACAGGTTGTGACAGAACCAACTAGAGGAAACAATCTGCTTGACTTGGTTCTTGCCAACAAAGATTCACTAATTAATAATCTTGAGGTTAATGATGAGCTTGGGAAAGTGATCACAAATCACTTAGTTTCAATATATCATGGAATTACCCAGATAACTGCAATCAAATCTCTGTCCCAGATTTTCGTTTGGCCGACTTCATGGGACTGAAAAATTACCTGGGTGGGCTAAATTGGGATGTCCTGACTATGGGTCAGGTAGGTGATATTGGTTGCCAAAATGACGTTTTTCAGAGCATAGTTCTAGCTGCCTAGACAACTTTTGTTCCGAGTAGGGAAATTAGATCCAACAAAAATGATCCCAAATGGATGAACAATAGATTAAAACATCTCATTGGTCATATAGGCGTATCAAAAGAGGGGATGGGCAGTTAAGAAATCAATATATTCAATTAAAGAGAAATAAAGAAAGGAATAAGAAAAACAAAAAGGGATTATGAGGCTAAGAATAGGGACAAGATGGGCCCACTTAAGAGTAACTCTGGTCAGATCACTGACAGTGATAAGGATATGTGTGAAATTCTCAATACTTCCTCTCAGTTTTCACCCAGGAAAATACTAGCGATATTCCTGAAATAATAGATTATGTAGAACAGGATGATAATAAACTATGTATGAATGTGGTAACTAGTGACATGGTCCTCAGACAAATAGAGAAGCTAAAACCTAACAAATCCCCAGGTCCTGATGAACTGTTTGCAAGGGTGTTAAAGGAATGTAAAGAGGAACTTAGCATACCTTTAGCTAATCATTTTAACATATCACTACAAACTGGCATAGTGCCTAATAAGTGGAAAATGGCAAATGTAATACCTATTTACAAGGCAGGTGAGAGGTCCTTGGCTTCGAACTATAGACCAATAAGCCTTACCTCCATAATGGGAAAATTTATGGAATCAATAATTGCCGAAGCAATTCATAGCCATCATGCACAGATTGATTAATAAATCTCAACACGGTTTTACAAAGGGTCGTTCCTGTCTTACGAATTTACCAACTTTTTTCACTAAGGTGTTTGAGGAGGTAGATCATGGTAATGAATATGATAGTGTATATGGGCTTCAGTAATTCTTTTGATAGAGTTCCACACCAGAGGCTACTGAGCAAACTTAAGGCACATGGAATAGGAGGAGAAATTTTTTCCTGGGTAGAGGCATGGCTGACAAATAGACAGCAGAAAGTTTGCATAAATGGGGAGAAATCAGAATGGGGGCACGTCACAAGCGGTGTTCCTCAGGGGTCAGTGTTGGGCCCGTTGTTCACAATTTACATAAACGACATAGATGAGGGAATAAATAGCGACATAAGCAAATTTGCCGATATCAAAATAGGCCATCCAATTCATTCTAATGAGGACACTAGAGAACTCCAGGATGATTTGAATAGACTGATGCAATGGTCGGAGAAGTGGCAGATGCAGTTTAATATTGACAAATGCAAAGTTCTAAATGTTAGACAGTTAAATAACCATGCCACATATAAACTAAATAATGTAGATCTTAATACTACTGATTGCAAAAAGGATTTAGGAGTTCTGGTTAGTAGTAATCTAAAACCAAGACAACAGTGCATTAGTGTTCGCAATAAAGCTAACGGAATTCTTGGCTTCATAACTAGAAGTATAAATAATAGAAGTCCTCAGGTTGTTCTTCAACTCTATATATCCTTGGTTAGGCCTCATTTAGACTATGCTGCTCAGTTCTGGTCACCGTATTACAGAATGGATATAAATGCTCTGGAAAACGTACAGAGGAGGATGACAAAGATGATCCCATGTATCAGAAATCTTCCCTATGAGGATAGACTGAGGGCCCTGAATCTGCACTCTCTCGAAAGGCGTAGAATTAGGGGGATATGATCGAGGTGTATAAATGGAAAACAGGAATACTAGATGAGGTTGCCAGAAGGGCTCACATGGGTAGGGCAAAGTTACTAGTCATGGGGGATTTCAATCACAAAAAGACTGACTGCGAAAACCTGGAGCCACATGGGGGACCAGAAACTTGAAGGGCTTAGATGCTGGAGGTGGTACTGGAGAACTTCATTCATCAACATGCTAGGGACACAACCAAAGAAAGAAGAGAGACTGAACCAGCAAGGCTGGACCTCGTATTCACTTTGTGTGGTTCTGACATGAGGATATTACACATGAAAAGCCCCTCGGCATTAATGCTCACATAGTCCTGAGTTGCGAATACCTTATAAAGTTAACTATGCAGGCATGAGGCAAGAGCGAGCCCTTGGTTTACCCAGAGCTACAGAAAGGACAAAGTTAAGTGTGCTAGAGCATGGAAAATGTACAGAAGACAAAAAAATCAGGAAAACAATGAGTTAAGCAGAAGTCAGAAATAAATATGCAGGGATAAGAAGGTAGGCTGAGTGGCAATTTGAAAATGACATAGCACTGAAAGCCAAATCTGACCCAAAGTTGCTATATAGCCACATCAGAAGGAAAACAACATCCAGGGACTCGGTAATCAGGCTGAGGAATGAAGGAGGGAAACTCTCAAAGAATAACCAAGAAGTACACAAAGAGATCACCACGAGATTTAGGAAGATATTCTCAGAGGAGACAGAAAGGCTTCCTGAAAATCGAGGCCACAGAGTACACAAGTAAGTGCTGGACTCAACACACAACCAGGGAGGAGGTGAAGAAACTGCTATGTTAGATACCTCGAAGGTGGTGGGACCATTGTATATGTGGAGGGTGTTCCAGAGGTCTACATCCCTGCGGCCTAGTCCATGACCAGGCCTCACGGTGGATAAGGGCCTGACCAACCAGACTGTTACTGCCGGCCGCTCGTAACCAGACATACGAACCACATCCCAGCTGGTCAGGTTCTGATTTGAGGTACCTATCCAGCTTCATTTTGAAGACAGCCAGGAGTTTCTTGTGAATGCTGGGAGGCAGTTGAACGGTCTTGGGGGGCCCCTGACACTTAATGTGTTGTCTCGTAGTGTGCTCATGGCACCCCTGCTTTTCATTGTGGG